CACATGACATGACATTTAAAATACCGCGTGGAAAGATAGTGTGTAACACTAACGATGCTAGAACGCATGCATCGTACATGTTGAGTTCTACCATAAGGAAAACCACTCAACATTTGTGCGTGATTCTGTATACAATGTATCCTCCACCTAATATAGAAGAAGAATGAAAAATTACTGAATATTGGAAAAACCGTCTGAACAACCTTGACTTTTTATCAATTCAAAATGTCACACAATATCATTTCCATGATGTGGCAAAGTATAAAACAATTCACTGAAGGAGAGTATAAAGGAGGTTAGGCCAAAATGAGGAATATATCTGCCTGTCATTAGATGAGGTGTTGCCATAGTAAGGGCCTTAATCCAAAAATTGACAACCAAAAAATAAGCCTTATTTTAACAGTACCCATACTGGTATATCTCTACAGGGAAAACTGTAAGAGAAATTAACTAAGTTGCCTTTTCTAACTCGCGCATCCTTACTGCGCATGTAAATTCACAATCTTGACTGTACCGGTTTGTGCAATTGTGGTGGAAATTGCAACTAAAAGAACCTTTATTCAGCAAGTGTTTTTAAAGGCAGGCATAGGAACATTATAGCCAGTGAAAGCTGTTTTTCAAAACGTTTCCTTCAGACCAAAAAGTTCAGCAAGTGTTTATTGTAACATACCTGATCTATTCTGGCATATTTGAAAGTCTCAAATGCAAAATAGAAGGACATGTGTCGATCACAGTAAGCAAGTAACTCAAGAAAATCATGTCAACGAAACCTATATAAATTTACTCTGTATCTCGGCCTCGATTTGATGGATAGTTCTGATGTTACATTTTTGGTACATCCCAAACATACATTTAAGGTTTGAATTTCCTACTCTGAATAATAGAATCTACATTGCAAATGATAAAATTGGCATGTGAAAAATGGTAATGATTTCATCAGTGCTTATTGCTGGTATTTGAAAATAATGGTCACGTGACATAATTTAAGACTCAAAGGCACTGGTTAATTTGTTGTTGTATTAAAAAAAGCAAGATACTAGCCATAGTAGTCCCAGAAGGTCAAAATAATCGGTATTTTGCATCAGCCTCATTTCCATGTAAGGGCCTTGTATGCCATATTTTTGACATGCGCATTCCATGGTTCTGGAAGCAAATTTGGCATGGCTCCATGTCAGGAAATATTTGTCTTATAGAGGTTAGTAACCCTGCCAAGTTTGATGCTTTTATCAAAAAACGAACAATTTTGTCCCCTAACAGCTGGACTAT